CATGTTTGAGAGTATAGGGAAAGGATCAGACCTCCCACAGCTTAAGCGGCACTCTTAAGAGAAAAATCAAAAAGTGGGGGTTTGATAGGGATGAAGGTTTGGTAGAGTCTGGGAGGGAGTAAGGGAAAAGGAAGAAAAACTCTCCCAAATAAATCAAATCCCAAATTGGATCCATGGCAGTGGACTCAAGCCCAACTCCTATTTGGCATGAAGTAGAACTTTCTGGTCTCAGGACTTGTGGATCTTTGAGGAGGAGGGCTGCCCTTTTTCCTGCAGGGTGGCTGGTGGATTTGAACTTTAGGGCTTTGACTGATGGCCAAACACTACCCTTGTCAAACTGCTCCAAACAGACTCAGAGGCTGCATCTGCCATTCTCCCTTGCCTGCATCACTGGCTGATCTATCTCACACTAAGCACAAGAAAATAAGCTTTAGCTTTTTCTCCTGGAAATGACTTCTTGCACCAATCTCCTTTCTCCTACATAAATGCACTCTCTGGTGAGGTGAATGAGCAAATTCGGCCACAACTGCCTGTTCCCAGGGCCTCTGGCTACCATAACTAGAAAAGTCCCTCCTCAATTACCTTACCCTCCATTTATTTTTCTAATTTCCTTTTTACCAATTTTTTCTTCTTTCTAGTTGATCATTTACCTCTTTAACTCTTCTCTGTCCTTCACTTTTACCAAAACTTCATCCCTAGAGAACCCCCACAAACACTTCTTCTTTCACTTTTACCAAACCTTCATCTCTATCAAACCCCAGTTTTTTTCATTTCTATTTTTTTTATATTCTTTTTCCTTTTACCCTATTTATTATCTTCTATTTCCATTCTATCTTATCATCTTTTCCATCTCTTCTTCTACTCTTTTTTTTTTTTCTCTATTTATTTTTTTCCCACTTCATTCAATGAGAGGAGTACATTAACTTTCCTTGAGTCAGCCATATCTTCTACACCTACCACCTCACTCAAAGATGAGTAACATCAACAGCTCCTGTACCACAGGATCAATAGCAGATGGTGGGCAACACCTGCTCATACCAAGTACAAGTCCCCTTCATAGCAAACAGAGACCTCCACACACACTACCGCTAGTTACTCCACCAACACAGAGAAATCTGGAGAGGACCCAGTACAGGAGAGTTAACAACCAAAGAAGCATACCTGCTCCACACTTCTGGAAATATTGAAACACAGTAAAACATAAAACCAAAGTGAAAGAAATCAGCACATAACCAACAAATAAAGACAACAATTTAAAACTTTCTCAGAGACAATAGACAACATCAAATCAAACAAAAACAAAGGACAGAATAGTAGAAATAGTGTCCCAAATAAAGAATTAGAGAATCTCCTTGTGGAAGATCAAGTAATAAAACTGTCTGATAAGGAATTCAATATATATACATATAGGACCTTCCAAGAGCTCAAAGAAATGATAAACAAAAGCAAGGAGAAGACAAACAGTACCCTTGAAGAATTCAGGAAAGTCACTCAAGAGCATAATGACAACATAAATTGTTGTTGTCAGGTGCTGCTCTGTCATCTCTGGCTCATAGTGACTCTATGTACATCAGAATGAAACACTGCCAGGACCTACGCCAGCCTCACAATCCTTGTTTCACCTGAGCCCATTGTTGCAGCCACTGTGTCAATCCATCTCATTCAGGGTCTTCCCCTTTTTCTCTGACCCGCCACATTACCAAGCATGATATCCTTCTCCAGGGAATGGTCCCTTCTGACAACATGACAAAAGTAGGTGAGATGAAGTCTGGCCATTCTCGTTTCCAAGGAGAATCCCAGCTACACTTTCACGAGGACAGATTTGTTAGTTTTCCAGGCAGTCTGTTGTACTTTCAGTATTCTTCACCAGCACCACAACTCAAAAGCATCAACTCTTCTTCGGTCTTCCTTATTCATTGTCCAGCTTTCACATGCATATGAGGCTATTGAAAACACCATGGCATGGGTTATAAAAAAAAGCAAACTCACTGCCTTTGAATCCACTCAACTCATAAGGACCCCCCCTTGGCTTTCCTAGGCGGTATCTCTAAAGAAGTAGATTGTCCAATCTTATTGGTCTACTTGTGAGTCTACATTACTGTAGACTGTAGTCTTTAACCTTCACCAGTAAATGCTTCAAGTCCTCTTCACTTTCAGCAAGCAAGGTTATGTTGTCTGCATATTGCAGGTTGTTAATGAACTTTCCTCCAATCCTGATGTCTCATTCTTCTTCATATATTCCAGCTACTCAGATTATTTGCTCAGAATAGATTGAATAAGTATCGTGAAAGATACAACTCTCACACACTCCCTTTCTGATTTTAAACCATGCAGGTATCACTACAGAAGTAGACTGTCCAACCTTCCTTCCAAGGAGTGGCTGGTGAGTTTGAACCACCAGCCTTCTGGTTAGCAGTCAAGTTCCTTAGGCAATATGCTACCAGAGCTCCTAGGGAAAGAATAGAGAATAATTAAATAAAGAGGAAGGAGAAGGAAGATAAAAAAGAATGATTTAGAAGCAAACAAAACAAAACAAAACAAAAAAAAAAACAGAACTGTTGGGAATGGGGCAAGGTACCTAAGCTCTGTTGGGGCACAGAGAGGATAGAATTCTTGCTGGTAAGGAAGGTGGGTGGAAGCAGGGGATGGCCACACTTCTGTTCATAAAGAGGCTGTGGTATAAAAGAGTAACAAAGGGAATATAGCACCTTTCTATTCATCACCCTCTAGTGAGGTTGCCCATGTTCTGCTTGGCAAGCAGAGCCAATTCTTAGGTGGCTGTCCAGGTCAGAACCCCACTTGGGTATATTCAAAATCATTGTACTGCTTGCAGATATTGAAAATGGCTTCACCTTCAGGACAGGCATCAGTTCACAGGTATCTTTGTCTCCTTCTTTACTATTGTCCTTTCTGGGGGTCAGGCACCAGTGCAGTCCTTGCCCATGTAGTCCTCAGTGAGCAAAGCCAATTCTTAGGTTGCTACTGGGTACACACTTAAATATTCAAAATGATTGCACCCTCAGGAATGTTGGCAGTCCATAGCTCTGTTTGTCACCTTACAATTTTCTTTCAGGTTCTCTTACTATTTGGTATTTATCCTTCCCTTCAAAGCTCAGGGCTCCAGGATTGTCTTATGTATTGGTATTAATTGGTTTGTCATTGCTTTGTTGCAAGTCTGTGTACATTGTCTGCATATTCTGCCATCATACTGGAACTCCCACCAATCCTTCTTTGTTCTATCAGAGCATCTTTTCCAAAGGCAAAGACCACTTGTATTTCAGAAACCAGGGAGTTGCACCATGGCAACCACTTGGGATGTCCTGTGAATTTTCTCCAAGAGGAGGACTGATTGGGATTAGCCCTGGGAACACTTTCCAGCCTAGTCTGATTCTTTTGAAAACATCTTCTTAGATGCTTCTCATTACTATAAACCATTGTGAAGTTTTATACCTCAGGGGGAAATCCTAACTGCAACATGGGTTACCCTCATAATTTCACTCACCATCAACCCACCTACATTTTATTTCTTTCATAACTCAGTTTTGAATATTTCAGACTACCTTACAATTGGATCATAGGAATCTCTATTTAATCAGGTTCTTTGTGTACAATGAACCCAAGGGGCTTGTGGCCTTTGAGACATTATTCTCCCAGGTGAGGAATAGGAGTGGTAGGGAAAGTGGGGCAGAAATATAGGATATGGTGGAAAGGAAGAAAATGTGAGGTCAAAGGGATTGAGGATAGATGTGGCAGCAGGGGAATGAGTACTGACCCCTCAGTCAGTCTTGTTATTCCTTCCTACCTTTTATTTACCCTTGGTCTATGAATGCTATATCAGCTTTCTGCAGAAAATTGCTTGCACACTGGATGCTTGTAAAGAGTGTTGGGTCATCAAGGGCTTCCACTGGAAGTTTTGTAGAAATGCAAAATCTCCAGCTCTAAAGAGATAAGTCAGAATCTGTATTTTAACAAGATTCTTAGGTAATGTATTTACATGAGCAGTAGAAGCAGTTCTGAACTGTGTTATGTATGCAACGGAATTACACAAACTTCTTAGCCCCAGTATATTTGATACTACTTGTAAAATGACTGAGTGTTGTTACTCTTTTAATATTTGGAAGTAATATAAACAGCAAGAATTGACAATCAAAACTTAGTGTAAATCTCTGATTCAACTCACCTTGAGGAAAGGACTTTACCTCTAAACCTTATGTCCCAAGTGGGTAAAATAGAGGTAATGATAATCATGCTGACCTGATACAAATGTTGAGAAGAATAGGTGAATCACAAGCACCTGGAACATAGCAAAAACTTAATAAATATGAAGTCTTTCTCCCTAATAAAATAAAATGTACCTGAGAAATAATCCAACTTTTAGATTTAAATGACCTATATATTGTTATTATAAGCCAACTTCGAGGTTTATCAGAATCTGTTACAAGAATATAGGGAAATTCCAAATGTTGATGGTGAATGTTATAACAAACAAACAAACAAACAAACAAACAAACAAACAAATAAATAAATAAGATATGACAAAAGGCTTTGGGTAAGAAGGCAGAAAGTATAAACACTAATCTTTTGTGAATTCTTCTGTGAATGGCTGCCAGCTAAGAGAGACACTTAGTGCATGTTGAGATCAGTGATGGTAGAAAATTGGTGATAATTCTGAGAAAATCACCCAGAATGCTATGGCTGAATCAAGAAATATTTCCTTCTTTGTATTTGTTGGTGGAAATTCATTTTTGTAACTACTTTTCTTTCTTTGCTCTTTGGACCTCTTTATTAATCATCTAAAGGGTGTTGTGGGATGGTATGTGCTGGCAATGCACACATACAGATGTATTATTTCAGAAATCAGTCTTTTAGAGGTTCAAGAAAAGACAAATATGAGGGTGGGGGTGGCCACAGGCCGTGAACAGATCCAATACTCCCAGGCATCTTCAGTGGTCCTTAATGGAGTTGGTGGTCAGGGATTGGAGTGTAGACAGGAAATGCCCTTAGTTCTTTGCTATCTCTCTGTTACACAACAGCAGCCTTTTCAGTGCCCCCTTCACTTCTTTGTTTCTGAGGGTGTAGATCACGGGGTTCAGGAGTGGAGTGACAATATTGTAGAAGAGAGTAAGGAACTTGCCCTGGTCCTGGGAGGAACTGTTTCCTGGTTGCATATACATGTAGATGATATTTCCATAGAAAAGTGAGACCACAGTGAGATGGGAGCCACAAGTGTTAAAGACCTTTTGTCTTCCAGATGTTGACTGAATTTGTAGCACAGCCCTCACAATGTAGCTGTAGGAGACCAGGATAAAAACCAAAGGTGACAGGACAATGCCTACTGCCAGAACAAAAACAGTGTCTTCGATGGCCACAGTGTTGATGCAGGCCATCCGGATGAGGGCAGGCATCTCACACAGGAAGTGGTCCACACTGTGGTGTCCACAACGTGGTAATTGTAGAGTCACTGGAGACATGACCAAAGAATTGGCCACCCCACAGCCCCAGGCCACCAACACCAAGCCCAGGCAGAACCGTGGATTCATGATTACTATGTAGTGTAGGGGCTTGCAGACTGCAACAAACCGATCATAGGCCATCACAGCCAAAAGCAGGCACTCAACACCACCCAGACCCAGGAACAGAAAGAGCTGGATGGCACAACCAGTGTAGCTGATAGTCTTGTCGTGTCCATTAAGGTTGTAGAGAAACTGGGGGATGGAGCTGGTGGTGAAACTGAGGTCCAGGAAGGAGAGCTGGGTGAGAAAGAAGTACATAGGGGTGTGGAGGTGAGGATCCAGGCGGGACACCAGGATAATGGTGGTATTGCCCACAAGTGTCAGGAGATAGGCAATCAAGATGACCACAAAGAAAATTCTCTCCAGATGGGGATGGTCAGAAAACCCCAAAAGGATGAAATGGCTTTGGGAGCTGTCATTGGTACTATCCACCATCTCCTGAAGACAATAATAATAATAATAATAATGGTAAAAATAAATGGAAAACAGCAACAGAAGCAACCAGCATTAGAGTACTTCCTTTAAGCGAGACAGTTTTCTATGCTTTTTACATTTATTCATTTACCCTAACAAAAATAATTTATAACTGGCACAATATTACCACTGGATTACTGAAAGGAAAGCTGAGGCATTTGCATAAAAAATTACCATACCTAAGAAGGTATAAGTGTAGAGTTGATATTTGAACCCAGGAAATCCAGTTTACCATTGTCACTTTAGCCACGGGTGCTATTGCCTCTAATTTAAAGGAAATGAAACACAAATTCTGTTTTGACAATCCATTCATTCTCCATTGTTGTTTTTAGGTGTCACTGACTGAGGCTCAACTCATAGGAACCCTATGTACAGTAGAACCAAACACTGCCCAGTGGTGTGCCATCATCACAATCCTTGCTATATTTGAGCCCATCATTGCAGCCGCTGTGTAAATCCATCTTGCTGAGGGTACTCCACTTTTTTTGCTGACTCTCCACTTTACCTAGCATGATATCCTTCTCTGGGGAATGGTCTTTTCTGACTACAGGACCAAATTGGTGAGATGCAATCTGGCCATTCTTACTTCCAAACAGCATTCTGGCTGCATTCCTTTCACGACACATTCGTTCATTTTTCTTGCAGTCTAGGGTATTTTCTGTATTCTTCTCCAATACCACAATACAAAAGCAACAATTCTTCTTTTCTCTTCTTTATTCATTGTCCATTTTTCGCATGCATAGGAAAGAAGTGATTGAAAATACCATGGCTTACGTTAGGCACACCTTAGTCTTCAAAGGGACATCTTTGCTCTTCATTCTCTAAGAGACCTAAACACTTGTTCTCCTACTAAAACTTCAGAGACTGAATATGGAGACCCAAAATAATGAGTTAATTAATTTAATTATTTACCATAATGTAAATTCCAACTCATGACAATACCATGTGTGTCTGAGCAGAAGTCCACAGGATTTTCAATGACTGTGACTTTTCAGATGTAATCACCTGGGCTTTATTAACAGAAGCCTCTAGGTAAATCTTAACTGCCAAATTTTGGTTAATAACCATGTTCTTAATAATTTACACTGCTGACGGACTCCTAATCAGTTAATGGTATGTAGAAACTAACCATTACATATAGAATGTAACCATTACATTACATACTTTAACTAGCTTTATCCCAAAAACATGTCCCATCACATTCAAAGCAAATTGTGTTTGAGGAGATAAACTACAAGTGTTAGGGAGAAATATAAAGGAATGGAATGAAATATCTTTGTCTCTAGCCTACAACTTCCATGGTCTAAAATCCCTGGTCGAACTCTGGTCAATTATGAAATCTTGAAAAGTTCTTTTACCTTTTCATATTTTCTCATCTAATCAGGTCTTCCTTACATATGTTTGAGATTTTTTTTTTTTTTAATGTGAAATAATTTTGTTAAATAAGGCATGTTATATAAGTTCAATAAAGCTGTTGTGTTATGTAGACAAAGAATGGAATAATAAGCACCTTGAGATTAGGCAGGACAATTCTGAAGGTGAAAAGAAGGAGAAGGAGAAGGAAAGAAGAAGAGGAAGAAGAAAGTCTAATGAAAAGAAACTTTCCTTAGCAAATATCTAAAAATATTTTGAAAATATAATGGTTTGATAACTGACTAGTGACTTATGGGGAGGTGCCTGTATTTCAGCACTTACACAGTGATAATTGGAGCTTTTTGTCCACTTGTCTGGACCACAAATCTGTGTGGTTTAAGCAGTTGTGATATGGGTTATTCCCATGATAGAATTGGATGTATATGTTTTGAGAAGCAAATCTATTGAAAGGGCATGTCCCTAAGGGTATGGCCTGCTTCCAATATATCCTGGGAAAAGAGACACTCACTCTCCTGTGGAGAGGGATCCTGTTGTTCTGTCTATAACTGTCTGTGAGCAAACAAACCATCATTCGGCCTGGAGATCTTAGATTCATCATTCGTTGGAGTCAACAACTGGTATACTGCCTGCCCACCCTGAGCTCATCAGCTCCTGCAGCTGTGTGAGTCAGGAAAAGCCTCCAGCTTATTTGATCCAAGAACTTGGGACTTGCCAGCTAGCCACTCCTCAGAAAGAAGGTTGGGCAATCTACTTCCGTAGTGATACTGCCTTGGAAACCCAAGGAGGTGTTGCTATGAGTTGGGTCCAACTTGATGGCACATAACAACAACAACGAGTGTGTGAGCCATTTTCCTAAGATCAATTTCTCTTTCTCTATATGTATATATAAGCTTTACTGGTTTTGCTTCTCTAGAGAACCCAGCCTAACACATACACCAAAACATATCACAAATTAAATATTTAAATATTGAAAAAATAATTACAACCAGGAGCTCTAGTACCGTAATGCCTAAAGCACTTGACTGCTAATGAGAAGGTTGGTGGTTCAAACCCATCAGCCACTCCTTGGAAGGAAGGTTGGGCAATCTACTTCCGTAGTGATACCATCTCAGAAACCCAACGAGGGGTCATTGTGAGTCAGGTTCAATTCCACGGCACATAACAACAACAACATAAGAAAGCATAATAGGTTTTTTGTTGTTGTTGTTGATGTTTCTGTTGCTTTGTTTTCTTTCTGAATATCTTGGATTTAGGTAGAATTCACTACTAAAATTGCAATTCTCAAAAAACTATGGGGAAGTTTTCTTAGTGGGCAATGAGTTTATGTTAATTGTTGTAGAATGATGTTTGAAAAAAAGAGTGATAATGGTTGTAGAATTTGTGGAATGGAATCATTGTCACTGAATTTTACATGGAGAAATTGTTGAGATAATGTATGTTTTGGTATGTATATTTTCACCACAATAAAATTTAAAAAGCTGTGAAGCAAAACAAGCACACATACAAAATTGACTATGCATTAAAAAAAATCTGCATTCAAAGAAGCTCCACTAACAGAACTAAAGAATGATGATACTAGAAATTTGGCATCACAATTGAAAGTGTACTTTTCTTAATATATTTTTTAATCAGTGTTTTGGTTCTCTGGTTCCACACTAAAAGACATACCACAAATATGTGGTTTTAAACAAACCAGGATTTATTCTTTCATAGTGTAGGAAGCTAGTAGTCCAAGTTCAAAGTGCCAGCTCCAGGGGATGAGTAAAAGCCCCTTGACCTTAAGCTTTAGCTCTGCTTCTATCTCCCAGCCCCCTGAAGCTGGAGGTCTCTCTTAGTCAATTTCTGGTTGCTGAGGCTGACAAACCCAAGGTTGATCAGTAAAATTGCACAGCCTCAAGATTATCAAACAACACCACAGGCCACTGGTTCGAGTCCAGGAACAATCCTAAGATTGGTAGAAAACATGGCAGGCTGCAGAATGAAGACTTGGCTACATGAAGCATGCACACATGCCAAAAGGATGCAAGACCTTTCTCAACACTTCTCCTTATATAGCAGAACATTCCTAAGGTAGCTACTCAGCTGTTCAGTATATTCCATCATGGAGTTGATTACCAGTTTCAACATGGGGAATAACTACATTCAGCTGCCCAGCCACTCCAAGTTGACACATGACTTAACTGCCACAGTCAATTTAAAATAAAAAAAAAAGGAACCAAAGAAAAATGTCATAAATTGAGAGGCAGTTCATGGAAAAACAAACAATTTACATAAAAAAAGTGACTTTTAAACACTAGAAGCATTCTCACTGATGATTAAGAGAATAAAAATTAATTCATAGATATAAGAATACTCAATTTTTAGATAAGTAAGTATTGTAAAGATTAATAATATACAGGCCTGAGAAATGTATGAGGGAAATGGTTACATTATCATGAACTCTTATGCTAGTTTACTCTGAAATAGTATCTTTGATTTGAACTATAAGCCTTCTGATTATAGTCAAATGCCTTAGGCGCTATGCCACCTGAGATCCTAGTATCTTTGGAGACATCTTAGAAAAATAAAAGATCAATAAGTGAAATATATATCTATATACCTTACCATCACATATATTGTATTAACAAAAAAAGCATCTGATGATTGGGACCTTCTAAAAATTAAATGTTTATGTGCTTCCAAAGACTTCTCCAAAAGAGTCAAAAGAGAACCTACAGATTGGGAAAAAATATTTGGTAATAACATATCTGACAAGGGACTTATCTCTAGAATTTATAGAACACTCCAACACCTCAATAACAAAAAGACAAACAATCCAATTAAAAAATGGGCAGAAGACATGAATAGACACTTCACCAAGGAGGATATTCAAGCGGCCAACAAACATATGAAGAAATGCTCACGATCATTAGCTATTAGAGAGATGCAAATCAAAACAACAATGAGATACCATCTTGCTCCAGCACTAGTATCAAAGTTCAACAAGACAGAAAATAACAAATGCTGGCGAGGTTGTGGAGAGATTGGGACTCTCATACACTGCTGGTGGGACTGTCAAATGGTACAACCATTGTGGAAAGCAGTATGGCGATTCTTTCAAAAGTTGGAAATACAAATACCATTTGACCCAGCCATCCCATTACTAGGTATATACCCTAAAGAAGTGAGAGCCATAACAAGAACAGATATATGCACGCCGATGTTCATCACAGCACTATTTACAATAGCCAAAACTTGGAAACAACCTAGATGTCCAACAACTGAGGAATGGATAACCAAACTTTGGTACATTCACACAATGGAATACTATGCAACGCTAAAGAATAATGTAGAATCTGCAAAACACCACATAACGTGGATGAACTTGGAGGACATTATGCTGAGCGAAATAAGTCAGTCACAAAAGGACAAATATTGTATTAGTCCGTTATTGTGAAAGTTAAGGAAAGGTTTATATATTGGAGGACATTTTCTTTGTTGGTTACCAGGGGTGGGAGGGAAGGGGAGGGAATGCTGTTAGATAGATAGAGATAAATATTGATTTGGGTGAAGAGAGGGGCAATGTACCAAATGTGAGTGACCAATAT